TCGACTCGAAGCTTGTATGTTTTGTACGTTTGCATGTTTGTTTGTCTTACTGTATGTATGTACGTATGTTTGATTGTTTCACTGTTTGTTTTTGTGTGTATGTTTAGTTGTTTTATATGTCATGTTTATTTTATGTTTGTTACATATTTGTATATTTCTTTGTAAATTTGTTTGTTTAATTTGCTGAAGTTTGATTTATCTATGTTTGTATGTCTCTAGAAATCAACGTTCCTTTTATGCTTGCTGGTTTTAGGTGCATTTCTATGTGTGCGGGCATGCGTGTGTTCGTGAGTTTATACGCCAATAACATGTTTTAGATTTCGTGTTTAAATATTTTCTCATTTGTAAGGACACACAGAAACACTTACACGCACATACACACGCAAACAGACACGCACACGCACACGCGCATGCAAATGCACACACACACAAGCACACACACACACACAAGCACGCTTACACAAATACACAAGCACACACCTATATTCGTCGCAAAATTGCGGAGAAATCATATTTCAAGTTAATTATAACGGTGTATAATTTCGCATCGCCATTACTTCTCGCTGCGGACAATTTTTTTCCCGCCTCTCAGATTATTTTAATGACGTCACACTCTTGTTTTATCATTTCTATCGCCATTTTTTCATTCAATTATTTTTTTTATTATTTTTGAAATTGTTCAAAAGAATTGTTTTAATTATTACATTTATAAATCTAAAAATTCCGTACAAAACAAAATGGCTGTATAAATACGACTACTTCTACTACTTCTACTACTACTACTACTATTATTATTATTATTATTAGTAGTAGTAGTACTACTACTACTGCTGCTGCTACTATTACTACTACTCCTATTCATACTACTTTTGCTACCACTACTACTACCCAACTACTTCTACTGTTACTATATCTGCTACAGCTTCACTGGCGGCACATGTGTTAACCAAATGAAACGCTTCACGATGTCACTGACACGAAGGATAGAATGACGTCATAACAAGCTGACGTCACGTGACGACAATAACAAAACTAATAATAAAAATAGCAACAACATCAACAAAATAAACAAAAACAACATCAAAGACAACCCTAACAACAACATCAACAACAACATCAACATCAACAACAACAACAATCCCAAAAACAACAACATCAACAACAACAATCTCAACAACAACAACAACACCAACAGTAGCATCAACATCAATAACAACACCAACCCCAACAACCCCAACAACAGCATCAACATAAGCATCAACAACATCAACAACAACATCAACAACAACATCAATATCAACAACAACAACCACAACAACAACAAGGACAGCATCAAACGTGCCCAATGAACCAGAACGTTTCAAGCTGGAAAAAGAAAATTGTCCATTCAATCAAAATGAGAGAGAATGATGAAGCATGTGAGAGTAAGAAAGCGAAACGTCGTCGTTGAAGATAAGAGAGGGAAAAGAAAAAAAGTTTTGGAAGGAGAGTGAGAGAGAGAGAGAGAGAAAACAGAGAGGGGAAAAAGAGTAAAGCGAAATACCGAATAAAAAAATTAGTTAGAAGTAAATAGGCAAATAAACGAAAATTAGAAAGAGAGTAGTGAAAATGACTCGCAGATTCATCAAGATAAAAAGAGAGAGAAAGAGAGAGAGAGAATGAGAGAAAGAAAAAAAAGAGAGATTAAGGAACAGTATAATTGTGTTCACGTCATAGGTAGAGTACTTGTTTAGAGATAGCGAATTATCTGGAATGGATGAAATGGATTTTATTTTATGTGAGAGAGTATTGAATCAACCATCTACCATTCAACTAACCACTTTCTACGTGTCTTTCGATGTTTTTCCATTCCGTCTATCAAGATTCATTTATTTATTCATACTTTCAATTTTCCTCGGTTCTACAATTTATTACTATAATATTCAACAGTTTGTTCATTCATTCGTTTATCCATTTTTGCATCATTTTACTCCATCGCATATCTATCCATCCATTCATTGGTTGTTTCACTCATCCACTCATCCATCCATCAGTCATTTGCTTCTCCACTGATCCATCTATCCATCCATCATTTTGCTCCTCCAATCATTTATTCCCGCCATCCAAATTCCTGCCAATCACACGCCACTCATAATCGAATTAGCGCTCTTGTGGACGGCTTGATGACGTCATAATTTATGTTTTTATTATTATTATCGTTATTATTATTTCTATTATCGCTATTATTATCGTTTTTATTATCAGCCTTACTTCATCGTTATGCTCGCCGGTATTAATTTGCTACGGATATAATACCACATTTCTGTCCAGTTTGAAAAAAGGTTATTTTGTTAGAGCATACATCCCACACATTCACACACACACACACATCCACACTTACACACATCCACACACTCATATACGCATATTTACACACACACACACACACACACACAAACAAACAAACAAACAAATCTGTTTTAGAGAAGATACACTCCACACACACTCATTCACACACTCATTCACACACATCCACACACACATCCACACACTCATACATACACACGCACACACAAACAAACAAACAAATTTGTTTTAGAGAAGATGCAGCTACAAATAAGTATAGCGTTCAACATTGCGTCGTCAATATTTATAAATAAATTATATGGAAAAGTGTTTAAATGGTTAAATTATAACTAACACATACACGCACACGCAACACACACACAGACACACACACACACAAATACACATATATATATATATTCATACATGTGTATACAATATATGTGTGGCGACATTGAAAAAGGCAGCATCGTATTGTTCGCGAGCAGACGATATTGTTGGTCGGAGACAGAGTAGGTTTGTTAATAGCTGTACCATTTTCAATTCGTTTTATTGTTTGTTATAATTAAGCATTATTATTTTTTTGTTATACTGGTATCAATTTTGTTATGTTATTCTGCGTCTAAGTTGTTATATTGATGTTTTCTTATAGTTTAATTTTAATTTAATTAAAATTTTATATTACAATGTTTATATTCTAAGTATTTTTTTTATGCTTATTTACTATTGTTTTACTTGTGGTATGCTCTCGTGTTTATTTGAAATGTTTTATAAGTTTGTTAATGAGATTTTTACATAATGAATGTCTTGTTGGCGTATTAATGTCATTATTTGTGACGTCATCGACATGTATTTTGTTGATGTATTGTTGATGTTTTTGTTGATGCCATTATGGTTGATACTAATGCATTGCTTCAAATACTTATTTATTTCATTTTTTGTGAAATATCTTAGTTCTATTAGTCACAGGTTAATTAATTGATTAATAATTGATTAATTAGCAAATTAATAGATTGAATAATAAATCTATTTTATAATAAATTTACATTTTTAAAAGTTTAATTGGATTAACTTTTTAAATGTATCCAGTTGTCAGTTGTTGTTAAATCGGTGAGCGGTATTTTTATTAATTCATTCATTCGTTCGTCTTTTTGTTATTTGTTCATTAGTTCATTTTTCATTCATTCGTTCGTTTATTCATTCATTTTTCGTTTGTTCGTTCGTTTGTTTGCTCGTTTGTTCGTTCATTCATTCATTCGTCCATCCGTTCATCTGTCCACCCGTTTCATAATAAAGGTCTTTTTTCAAGACTATCCAACTGACCATACATTCAATTTCATATTTTTTCGTTTATTTTGAAAAAACTTTTTCAAAACCTCCACAAATATAAATATTGTTTATTGTTTTCACTATTATTATCATTATTATTATTATAATTCTTATTATATTATTATTATTATTATTATTATTATTGTGGTGGTGGCGGTCATATTCTCGACAACGAAACGGGGATATAAAGACAAATTTTAATGATCTCCCGCTTGACCGCTCAACTGTGAATTATAAATTGCTTCAGATACACAGATACCGCGGTATTTCTTTGTATCTTTTTGTATTTCATTGCTTTGTATTGTATGTTTGTATGTGTTGCCGGTTTGTATGCATTGCATATTTGTGGATTGTATGCTTGTGTTTCGTGTATTTGTACATTGTGTCTTTGTGTATTGTATATATGTGTAGTGTTTTTTCATTGTATGTTTGTGTATTATATGTTTGCGTATTGTGTGCTTGTGTATTGTATGTCTTTGTATAAGTCTTGAAAGTTAGGCACTTTAATACTTATTTTTATACGTTTGTTTGTATGTTTAAATATTTAATGGTATATTTTGTGTTGTTTTTCTGTGTGTTTTTTTTTAGTATGCATGTTTAAATATTTTTTGTATATTTTGATTTTTTTGTATATTTTAAATAGTACGCTTGTCTGTATGTTTGTATATATTTTTGTGCAAGTTTTTTGTATAAAAAAGAGCTAAATGTAGATGGATGTACATGCGAAGAAATGAATTGAAAACATTTTTTCGGTTGCTGGCAACATCATCGCCATCTTCTTTCTCATTTTTTTTTTCTCATCTTCTTCCTCATCTTCTTCCTCCTCATCATTTTCACCATCTTTGTTATTGTCACCATCGTCATCACTTTTATCACCGCCACCATCACCGTCATCATCATCATCATCTTCATCATTTTCATCCTGCATGTAATAATTATTAATAATCATTATGACTCATTTCTTCATCGTAATCGCCTTCTTCAACATCATCGTCATCATCACTTATCACTCATTTTTATCTCCACATATTATCACCACTGTTTATCATTTGTGTTATTCTATTAGCCAAATAGCACCTCACATAAGTCCCATTATCGTTATAACTATTGTCATAATCTTTATCATCATCGTCGTCGTCATCATCATCATTTCGACAGTCTTTATAATCAGCAACAGCATCATCATCGTCATCATCTTCGTCACTATCTTTCTCTTCTTCATCATCATCATCACCGCCGTCATCATCATCATCGTCGTCACCATAATCAGTGGCAGCAGTAGTGACTACAATGACGACGACGACAATGTATGACATTAGCATCATCATAACGGCCGAAATGACTTTTTAAATGCATTTTATAAAGAAAATTTTCTGGTTGATGTTCCTGTTAATGTTCTCGCAGTTGTTGTTGTTATTGTTGTTGCAACTGTTGTTGTTGATGAGATTGTGTTGTTGCTGTTGTTGTTGCAACTGTTTTTGTTGATGTGATTGTGCTGTTGCTGTTGTTGTTATAGTTGTTGATGTGATTGTGTTGTTGTTGCTGTAGTTGGGATGATGAGGAGCATTTTGTTACTGTTGAATCTTTGTTGTTTCCTCAACTTCATCCAATACTACTACTAATTTTTTAACCACTCCTACTACTTTTTCATTACTGCTACAACTACTGCAAATACTAATACTATCACTTTTATCGCTGCTACAGCTACTACTACAGCTACTACTGCTACTGCTACTGCTGCTACTACTATTGTTTCTACTGCTACTTCCACTACTACTACAACTATCAAAGCAACTAGAATATTGACATTATTATTAATTTCCTCCTATGTTGATGTTGTCTCGCACAGAAGAAATGCTATTTTGTTCTCGATTTTTGGCTGGTAGGAAGCTTCAATTATTCATATACTCCCCGTTTCTACACTACTGCTACTACTACTACTGCTGCTACTACTACAACTATACTGCTGCTACTACTACAACTGCTACTTCTACTACAACGACGACATCTACAGCTGCTACTACAACTACCACTACTACTCCTACTGCTACTACTACTTCTACGACTAATATTACTACTACTACTACCACTACTTTTACTAAGACAACGACTACTACAGCTACTACTACAACAACAACAACTACTACTACTAATTCTAAAACAATGTGCACAAAGATTGTTGTGACACATAACAATACTACTATTATTGCTGGTACTAGTACTACCATGCTAACGGCTACTACAACTACCAGCACGGCGACAACCTCTATTACTTCTGCCACTGCTACTACTACTAATAATTTTACTACTACTACCACTACTGCCACTACCACTACTTCTACGACTACTACTACTATTACTTTTATCAAAACTATTACTAATACTACCACTACTACTTTTCCATTGTTAATTTTTTGGTTTTAATACCAAAGAATCATGGGATTAGTTTCTTAATGCCTCGTCAACGTGTTTTAAAAATGACGTCATCACCTTTGTCGTCATCATCAGCAGCAACACGTCATCATCATCAGCAACACGTCATCATCATCATCACCATCAATAGCAACACGCCATCATCATCATCACCATCGTGGTCGTCATGATCGTCACCATTTTTTCTGTGGCAATTTCGCACTATGGCGACCAACTGAAACAAAAAAAATGAAAATAAAAATAATAAAGCAATAATAATAATAAAAATAATAATAAAAGAATAGTAAAAATAAAAAAAAAAAGCGAACATAAAAAGAAAATAGATGCTTCGGGATATTGCATGGAAAGAAAAATTTACGCGCCCCCTATATTATTGGTGGTACGCTGCTGCTGCTGATGTTGATGATGATGATGATTGTGATGGTGGTGGTGGTGATTGTGATGATGATAGTGATGATGACTGTGATGATGATAGTGATGATGATGATGATTGTGATGATAATATTGATGATGACTGTGATGGTGATGATGATGATGATTTGGATGGTGATGGTGATGATAATAGTGATGATGATAGTGATGATGGTGATGATGATGGTGATGGTGTTTTTGATGAGTAGGACGAGCATGATGGCGAGGGTGATTATTATTATTTTAATATTAATTGTGTATCTGATGATGTTGATAATGATGATGATGACGTCGATGATGATGACGATGACGTCGTTGATGATGATGATAATGATATCGGTGACGAGTACGATGATGATGACGATGATGATGACAGCTATGATTTACGTCAGCTGCCTAATATCTGTAATACGTTGCTCGTCATGACAACAAGGACGATGTGATGATGATGATGATGGTAATGATGATGGTGATGATGATGATGGTGATGGTAATGGTGATGATGGTGATGATAATGATGGTGATGATTCTGGTGATGATGGTGATAAAAAATGGGTAGTAAAAAAAGTCAAATATAACACAGTAAACAAAAACACCAACACAATCTGCAGCGACATCAATAGCAAATCAAACTCCTAAATCATTGGCAACAACAAGAATATCTACAACAACAACAACAACAACAAGAATATCTACAACAACAACAACAACATTAACCATTGATTGCAAACAACGACAAAATCATCAACAACAAAATATTCGCACCAACAACAATAATATTTACAACAACAACAACAACATCATCATCAGTAGCAACAGCAGCAGCAGCAGTAGCGGCAACGACAACTACAAGAAGATTACCGACCCGGTCGTCAAAGGCGCAAAATATACTCGACTCATAATCCTCTGCATTAATCTCGCGAGATTTCAGTAGCTTGTTGGATGTGCGCTTATATATAGAAATTTATTTACGGCAAGTGTTCGCTTCAGTTCGCGAATACGACCGCGGCAGAATCGCGGCGAATTCGCCGCGATTTTTTTTTCTTCCCATAATCTCAGCGTTATTTTTCGCATTTGTTCGTGCTTGCTTGTTTTATTGCGGCTTTGAATGTGCATGCCTTGAGAAGAAAGAAATAATAATAATAATTATAATAGCACTAACACTATTATTAATAAAAATAATAATAACCATAATCATCATCAAAATTAAGTATCAACATCATCACCGTTGTCATCATCAACATCATTATCATCATTGACATCCTCGTCGACATCATTACCATCATCAATATCATCATCGTCATCATTATCATTATCCTCAACATTATCAGCAGCAGCACTTGGATGGGTTTTATTTGAGCATTCATTGAGCATTTGATTGCTAGACAAACATCTCAACATCTTCTGAACGCTGGGTTAACATTATTTATCGATATTGTCATTTTCATTGTCATCATTTTCATCGTCGTCTTCATCATCTTCGTCATCATCGTCACCATCTTCATCATCATCTTTTTCATCAGCACCGATTCATCAATTTTGTAATCATTATATTTTTTTAATTCTCATCATGATTTTATCATTATCGTTGTGTCATCATTTCGTCATCATCATCCTCTTCCTCCTCACCACCATCATTGTCATCATCATCTTACCACGTCATCATAATCTTACTACGTCATCATCATCATCATCATCATCATCATCATCCAAATTGTTATTCCTTCATTCGTTTCCATCCACCCATCCTTCCGTCTTATTTGAATTATATGACTCTCCGTGTCTATCGATTTTTAAAAGTGAGAGAGCGAAGAAGAGAGGGTGAGAGATTGGAGATGAAAAAATGTAATCGAATAAAAGAAAAAAAAATAGAAAGATAGAGAGAGAGAAAGAGAGAAAGAGAGAAAGATAGAAAGAGATAGAGAGAAAGAAAGAGAGAGAGATAAATAGATAAAGAGAGAGAGAGAGAGACAATAAAAAGAGAAAGGAAATGCAATAAAAAGAAAAATAGAAGAAGAGAAGAAGAGAGGAAGAGAAAGGCAGAGAAGGAAAAAACAAAAAAAATATATATAAATATAAAACCAACAAAAGGCAAACCGCAAAATAAACGCCGGAGCATTTGCTACGTGGATTTGGAGAGAACAAACTTATAGGCAATTGAATAATACAAAAGATATAAAGAAAAAAAACTTACTAAAATGAAAAATAGAGGGAAATAAGACAAAGAGAGAGAGGGAGAGAAAGTGAAGAAAGAGAGAAAGAAGAGAGAGAGAGAGAGCAAGCAAGCAATAAATAGAGAATGTGAGAGAAAAAGAGTGTGAAAGAGAGAGGAAATGAAGGAGGGAGAATGAGAAAATGATAGCGTGAGGGAGACATAAATTACATTAGAACACATAAAATAAACACCAAGCATAAATATAATGTATGGATTGTATATGGGTATGTATGTATGTATGTATGTGTCTCTATGTATGTGAATGTATGTACATATTTGTATATTTATATGCATGTATGTACGTGTGTGTGTGTGCGCAAATACATTAAAATATTATAATTTATAGTCGAGACGTGTTGGTTTATGAATTATATAGTAACTGTTTTGGAATGCCATGAATATTGCCTTAATGTCTGTTTGTGTGTTTTTATGTAGGCTAGTATGCTTTTGTATGTGTATTTGTGTGTGTGTGTGTACGTGTGTGTGTATGTGTTTATGGATGCGTGCGTGTGTGTATGTGTGTGTTTGTCTATTGTCATGTTTCTGATAGTTTTTTTTTGTTTTTCAATAGTTTTTTGCATACTGGGCTGATAATGTACGTGTTTGTTTATAATATTGCAATCAATAAGGCTTTT